TTAAAGCTTAAGTTATTAGGTTTAGGTAGAATAATAGTAAAGGTATATATAGTTAAGTATTTCTTAAGTATAGCTATATCTTAAAAGATCTATATATAGGCTATAAGAAAGTAAAGAGGTCTTTAATTTTTATAATTTTATATAATAATTATTTATATTATATTATAGCTTATAACTTATTAAAGTTAACTTTTATTACCTTAAGAAATTTTTTAATAGTTAATATATTCTTAATTTTAAAAATCTTATAATATATATTTAATATATATATCTCTTTTTACTTCTTAATTTACTTAAAGGCCTTTATATTAATAATCCTTATTATATTTAATATATTATTATAAATATATAATATCTTTTTCTTTAAGTTTTCTTATAAAAAAATAAGTATATTACTTATAATATATATTTTTTACTTGAAGGTTATATTCTTTTTAAATTATAACTTAACCTAATTCTATATAACTAGTTTAATATTATTTAAAATTTAAATATATATTAGATTAATTAGTTTTATATATATTTTAAAATCTTTAATTATATAATTATAATAATATTTCTTTTTTTTAAGTTTTTTTTTAATATTATTATCTTTTAGGTTTAATATTATTATAACTACCTTTAGATTTATACTTACCTTCTTTACCTCTTTTAGGCTTATCTTTTTAAGCTTTTATTTAATTATTTTAAAGATTAATAAACTTAGTTTAAATAAAATATTATTAAGATAATAAAAAATATTAAGGTTAATATAGTCTTAAATATATAAGTTCTTAGCTTAATTTTTAAAAGCTAAGAACTAAATATCTTAGGTCTTTAGACCTTTAAGCTTTTAAGTAGTAAAAGATATAATTATTTTTAATAAATTAATCTTTAAAATTTTAAATTACTTATTTATTAAAAAAAATATTAAAATTAAAACTTAGTTCTTTTTAAATTATATTAAACTTATAACTCTTAATAATTAGTCTTTAAGCTTATAATTAATAAGTTAATTACCTAAAGATATAGATAATAAGAAACTAGTAGATATAAGGTTTTAGATAATATAATTTTATTATTTTATATTTATCTTTTAGAAACTGTCTTAGGGGAAAGGTACCTAGTTTTATGTGGGAAATAGGGGCTAAAGTGGGTATATTTTCCCTTCCTTGGTTTATAATTAGTGGTTAGAAACATAGCACCTTACTGGTTGCTGTGGCCCACACAACCTGCTACAGCCACGGCTTCAACACCATCGGCGCATTGTAGAGGCGACAAAATCGTCTGCTACCATTGGTCAGTAGTGTAAGATGATGCTTGCCCGTTTTGCATCAAGACCGGCGGGTGACCAAAGCAGCCACAGCAGCGCACTAGTTGGCGCTTGGCCAATCAGTGTTCTCTCGAATGCAAGATCAGGCCCGACTTTTAGGCATCACCCTCCCACGGTATACCTTTGGTCGGTATCAAGCCGATAGATTGGCAATTGATAGGAACCTAAGCTGTATTCCATATCCGACACATGCCCTTGCCCTGTCGGGGCCTTTTTCGGGATGAAGGCCCTGCATTTGATGCATTTTGCTGAGGCAGATTGGGAGGCCCGATCAACGTATGGCTGGCTTTCCGAGGTAGGTAAGCTTTGTTCCTGCGTCATGCCGCTGGCGTACGGATGTAGGATTGAGTAGCTGGTTACAAGTTAGTAGTCTTTCGTAACTAGGTAGTTGAATTGGCGTCTTTTGCGTGAGCCACCCAGTGCACTGCCTTGTGTGTAGACAAACTGGTGAGGGTCAAGTCTCCACTCAATCCGGTTGGCTCTCGGGATGGCCAGCTCCTCCCCGTCTCCCCAGTTTCGACCTGCCCAGGCGCGGCTTCAGCTCAAATCCAAGCAACCACGTTTGGATTTCAAGCACTCCCCCAAAATCTACCCGTTTCACGCCGAATTGACTCGATTTGCTCAGATCAAACAGCTCTCACTCACTCCTTTGCCCCCCTCCAAACTCCCCGCGTCCGTCAATCTAGTGCGTCCCCGGACAAGGCGGTGCAACCCAACTCACCCTGCTCACACTGCACCGTGTATTGGTCGCCGCTTGATTTACCTCGCTTGCTGCATCCTTGTCCCGCCTGGTCAAAAAAGCCTGCCGCTGCTAGGGCTATCCCGGGCCTCGTGCTGCGCCGACTTTTTCCCTCCTCATCCTCGACACTCGAGAGCGGTCAGCCCGCAACTTCTCAACCATACCTCTTGCTTTCTTTTCCTTTGGATTAATCAAATTGAATGTCGGACACCACAAAGCACTGGCATATTGCTGCCATGGATTTTCATTGAGCCTAGATGCAGGATTTGTACCTCACCGGGCATCTACACCCGCGCTCAAATCACCTACTACGCAGCAGCATAGCGGTGCCGTCAAACACTGGTCCTCAGCTGCTCTGAGACTGAACCCGTCTCCCGCACTTCTTCTCCGTCTCAGCCTCATCTAAATTTTCCCTAATTTGGCCTCATCTCTGGTCTCTGTCAACGCTGCCTGTCCCTACCACGATGGGCCTCCCAGAGCCGACGGCGCTGCCAAAAGGTATCCTGAAAAACTCCAGCACCGTATATGACGAAGTAGCTAGCTATTCTACCTTGCCACCGGACAAGGTGTACCGATACTGGCACGGTAAGCTTGGCTTTTCTTTCGAAAGTATAAACTATTTACTCACAATCTCAAGTATACACGACAACGAACAAGAAGCTCAAGGATCCCACTGCTCGCCGTCTGGAGAACTTTTGGTGGCATGTTTGGGGCAGTGACCGGTCCAAGCTCAGTGGGCGTGTCCTCGCCCGAATATTCCAGGACATTTCTCTTGGTCCGACCGTTGTCCCGCTTAAGGGACCTCCGAATCGATGGGAAGGGCCAAACGTAAGTTGTTCTCTGCATGACTGTTTACCACCGCTCCTGTATCTAGCTGACCTGACCGCGGGCCTCTCCCTTGAATATCCAACTGATTGTCGCTCATCTGCAGAAAGACTCAAAACCCAATGGCAAATCTGCGGTACGATCCTCCTCCAGCACTCTTCATTCTTTACAGCTACCTCCTATTCTCAAGAAGGTAGGCAGCTCGTCCACAAGCATTGCCAAGAACAGTACTCGCTTTGTTTCGCCTCAAGAATCCGCAGAGCAAGTTGGTGTTGAGAGTGGTGCTCCGTCATCGGAAAGCACGCTAGTAAATGATTTTGATGGCGCAGGGCATGCATCGGCCAGCAACCGAGCAAATCTACAAGCACGCGACATGTTTCAAAGGCCTCAGTCGCCGACGGATTCTCACGAGCTAGCTTTTACGTCATACGCGGCAAGCAAAAACTCCGCCCGCAATGGAAAGTCCAATTTTCGAGTGCGGCAAGTAAGGAATCATGGTCAATCTGAAGTCTATTCTCAAATCAAGCGGACGGGGACGACGATGCCATGTGCGGGTAGTCTCGCACAAAATGACCACAAGGCATTGTTGAAACTATCGGCTCGTGAGAAAATTGTCCTCGGCAAGCAGCCAATGATGCGCCGCTCGCAGATAAGCAACCTAACAGCTAGGCCCGGGGTGCCATCTACGGCTAAGCCAAAGCGCTCACTATTCACCGACGCGGTTTCTTCAACTTCCAATGTGGCGGCACAAGGGACAATTATCGATCAAGCTGGGAGTACAAACAATTCAACCCAAATATCAGCGTTGAACTCGACCAAAGACGAAATGAACTCGCACGGGAGACCCTCCATATCGCCTTTACGGGAAGCTCGCTTGACACCAACACAACCCAGTAGCTCTGCCAGCTTGCCGTTGGGGCGCACCAAGAGCCAGCTTACTCTGCTCTTGGAACGTGCAAAAGAAAGATCGCGGGGTTGAAAATTAGATATATCACAGGGTCACGCTTGATCCAGACCAGTGCATATCATGGATCTCATATTGCTTCAGCATTTCAAGGTACGTGGTGTTTCCACCACAGACAACGTCGACAGAACATATATATGTGGGCAGGTCGGAAAACAGGACGGGCTGCATCGACCTGGCGTTGATTTAACTATCGTACAACTGGGTTGGGATTACAGACACATTTTCGTTTACGTAAACGGCAGCGAGCCCTCATGTGTATGATCATGTGTACGATCATGATCATAATCTACCTGTCGAATTCGACCACATTCTGGCCCGTAGCTCAACTGCGGCATCCTTGCTTCACTCGCCACATTGCGACTTGTTGCAGTATTACATAATTAAAATTGAGCTATCGTGGCAAACGGAAGACTCACAAAAGATTGGATTGCGTGAAGTTGAATGAGGAAAGCCATAAGAGTCTCGAAAACAAGACTGTTCAACCGAATTGTCTGGAGTCGCGATTCCAGCACCCGAAAAACAAGCAAAGTAAGCAAGCGCAGCAACCGACCCGACTTTTTTCTAAGTATTCAAAAAGGGAAAAGAAAGGAAGGAAAAGAATAGAGGAGGAAGCATCAAAGACACGAAAGGGAAAGCAGGCAGCGACGTGTATACAAACAAAGTGAATGCACAGTAGTGCTAGACGGATGTATTACAAAAAGGCAGGTCTTGGAGAGAAAAGCGACAACGCCCAGCGCAACAAATTATGAACAAGTCTGTACAGACGCAAGGATTAACAGACTGATGAGTAAAACGGATGGCATACGACATCAAGGGAGTTACAACATCGAAACGAACAATAGGAAGCAGCGCGTGGCGGCAATTGAGAAGAGCAGAAACTCAGAGATGCAACATGGAGCGAAGAAGGAAAAGAAGGGGGAGTACCGTGCTCCAGTCACATGAATTCTTGCCATGGGGTGGCAGCTCGTGCTGATACCCATCGCCCTGTAACGTATTCGTTGCGCAGCGACTTAGCAACAGAAGGCACTTCCCTAGTCGTGCAGTCCAAACATCTTGCGCAGAGCCCCAAATTTCTTCTTCTTCTTCGGTAGTACAGTATCTGTGGCCAGGTCACCGTCCATATCGGCAGTGTCTGCTGGTACCATACCCTGTGATGCGCTGCGCCGACGCATGAACTTAGATTTGTTAGAACTCGAGCTGACAATGGCTCCTCCTGCCGTAGATGGGCGCTCTGGCGAGGGCTCCGCGGCTCCGTAGCCAGTCCTCCCCGGCTCTGGAAGCGGCCAACTCGGGCCGCGCTTGTGAAGAGGCGTGTTGCGAAGCGCTTCCAACTCCGCTGTGCTGCGTTCGAGGTTTGTATCTTGACGAGCAGCGCTCTCTGTTAAGTCTCGAGTTATCTGGCTGGAAGGATCCTTTTTGCGTCTTAGTAGCGAGATAAAGCTTCCGCGTCTAGTATGCCGGGGTGGTGATGGCACGTTATTATCACCAATATCCGCTAAGGGCGCCAAAGCTCCTCGGCCAGAGCCTGACTGATGCTGCGAGCTTTCGATATCATGCGTTGGTTTGGGCTGAGTAAAAGGACCATTGTCAAGCATAAGGGGTTCCCGTCCGTCACGAGCGAAGGCCAGATCAATCGCACTGGAAGTGGCACGAGCGTTTGTTCTTGTACGCAGCGATTTGGGTAAGTTTTTACCCTTAACCTTTGTTGGCGGCTCATCGTCGTCGGAGCTGGAGTCAGCAAAGCGACTCTTGAAAAAATTCATGCTCGTATGCCCCTCATCTTCATCGCTCGAGTCTCCAAATCGACTACCGCTCTTTTCCTTCTTTGATTTACCTGCGGTCGATTTTCCGAATCCGGGTATGAGCCTTCTGGCAGGCGGATCTGCTGACGCGCCACGAAGAGAATGACGAAGGCGCCCTGCGCCTAAGCCGGGGCCTGCTGGAAGAGATGAGACGGAATCGCGACGCGTTCCAAAAGCAGGGGGCGACGGGGACCGAATGTCATTAGATGTTGCTGTTGGTTCCCGCATACTAGCTCGCATCGACCTGCGGAACTCATGCTTCCCGGAGGAGGCTGCACGTGCACGAGTAAAACTACTCTCGCTCGAATCGGAGCCACGGCGACGCGAAGTTGTCTTCGTGCGAGCTCCATTGGGAGAACCGTTCACTTGAGGGATTTGCGATTGGGGCGTGGAGGAAACTGTATCCACGGCTGCATGATATGACGCGGGACGGCCACTCGCGATAATTGAGGGCTGTGGCTCCAAGCTACTCAAGTCCATAGAATTGTGGCGAAGTGATCGTTTCATGCGAGAAGCAGATGCTAAGGATGCCGATCCAAGAGGGTGGAAATGAGGCTCTGCCCTGACGTGGGGGCCCTCTGATCGCATAGAAGTGCGAAGGCTACCACCAAGTTTTCGGGAGTCTGTTTTGGGTGGCCCAATGTGTTGGCTGCCCCTCATTGACTTTCGCATACCGCTATCATTTGACTTCAATCCTGAGTTGGATATGAGCCCCGAAGTACTATCGTGTGGCGGCATTGGGCCTGGAGCAATTTGATATGAGCGATCTTGCATAGGCGTCACAGTGTCTGTGTTTAGTCTGGGAGACTTTCGTGAATCAGTGTTCGACCCCTCGGGCGCCTCTTGATGCTCTTCGTCGGTTTCCTCCATCGCTTCTTGTTCCAACTGTCGCCGCTTGGCTGATGATAGACTCTTCCAGAAGGCCTTGGCATTTTCCCAGTCATCAGGAGGTTTACCTTGCTTGATCATTTCAGTAGGTTCAGGTTCCTTCCCTTCAACGGCGAGCTTGTCATGGAAGCTCTTTACCTTGGGCGAGCTAGTTGGGCTTTCTAGAACAGCATCTAAAGACAAAAAGCCATCGCCACCTGGCTCAGCTATCTCTTCGTAAGCATCGCTGTACATGTCTCCTTCCTCCTCCTCTTCCTTGATGTCATCCATTAGCAGGCCGTGGGTGTGAGCATCAGTCACCTCTAGTTCCTCACTGGCCGATGAACTGTCTTCATCGCCCACATTGGCAGTTGCGATTTTTTCATGTTGTTCGGTCTGTGGCAGACGAGGGCTGGCATCGACGATTGCTATCGTTGGTACTTGGTTTTGGGAACTCGCGTTGCTGTTGGTTGCCACGCCATTGGCGCGAGGATGAGCGGCTTCAGCTTTGGAATCAAGGTCATCGTCCGATGTATCTTCCATGAGTTCGTCTTCCGAGCTTGAAAGTCCCTCCTCCTTCTCCACGGATGGAGTTGAGGTTGGTAAGGGCTCTCGCTGCTTGAAAGTGTTGAGGTCGATAGCAGATGTCGCTGAAGTGGCTGCAGCTGCGACAGGAGTTTCGGTCTGGAATACATGCTCAGGACGAACGAGTGGTCTTTCTTCTTGCTCCCTTGGCTTCTTTTCCCGCACACTTCCAAAGCTGGGAAGTGCGGGTCTGGGAGACATGCCCTCCTCCTTTTCGACACAAGCGGCGTCCTTTTTGCTCCCCTTTCCAACAATGCTATGCCACGACTTCTTCATCTGCGAGTTTGAGTCGATAGCCTGCCTGGGTGCAGATTGTGCAGTGGTTTCACTGACGAGTACTGTGTTGCGGTCATCCCAACTGACTCTGAAACTCTTTTTGCGAGCATCATCGAGTGCAGTCATGGTACCGGGAGCTCCCGAGACGTCTGATCCATCATCAGAAGGCGATACAGCCCTGGTCGGACTAGTATGCTTCAAGGCAGATTTGCGAGGGGAAAGCGATCGTGAAGGTGGCTCGTGTCGCACAACTAATTGATCTGTTGCGGCTGCAAATCTGGCCGATCGAGCAGGGCTCTCTGAGGGTTCCCTTGAAGTTACGGCCTTCGATTTAGATTTTGAACTCGGCGAGTGAGTGATGCTTTTCGCGCTCTCGGGAAGTTTTGCAACCTTGCCTCCGGAGAACGGCGAGTTGGTACTATTTTTGGGAGCCCCGAATGGGAATTCGGCTGTCATCTCTGGCAAAACAGAGCTGTCTGGCGTCTCCGCTGCCGCTGTCCCGGATTCTATCGAGCTGATTGGCTGGATTTGTTTCGGCTTTTTCTTCTTCGCTTTGGGTTTCGACACCGCAGCATCTGCCTCAGATTCGATTTCAAGGCCCAGATCGGGCTCAGGTGCTGCACTCTGAGGCAGCTCAAGCTCTGCTTCGTTGGTTTCCAAAGCCGGGGCCTTTACTCTCGCAACGGTGCCACGCGAGAGATGGGAGCCTACTCTCGAGATGCGAGGCTGCTTTAGCTGTTTCTTGGCCTGGGATTTGTCTCTGACCAGTTCATGATCTTCTTGGTATAAGGCTTGGGATCGAGCCCTGACTTTCGCTCTTGGCACCATACGCCGAGAGTTTGGGTCGTACACCAAAGTTTGGTCCTCAACCTGCAAAGACCTCAAACTTCCGGTAGGCGAGTGTGGTCTTGCGCGGGGATATGAAAAGTTGATCGACGGGCTGACGCTCCCCGGTCTTGATTCGGATGGCGTGCGAATGGAGGAGAGTTGTAGCTCCGAGGCTGTCCGTCGCACCGCATGTAGATTATGAGCAGTGGGAGCAGCAAACCAAGAGCCTTTCTGGCCATCTCTCATTTTCTCGCTTGCTGTGCGGAAGCTCTGGTTGTGCAAATCGGCGCGACCTTTGCGCGAGGAGCTGCTGTGTCGAGATATGGCCGTGTAGCTGTCGTCGGTATGCGGAATTCTCGGGATAGGAGGCACCTCATGAGGCACTGGCGCTGGGCTGCGACCGGGCGAAGGAGATCGAAACGTGCGCTCCATCATTGAGCCCACGCTGGGCGTCCGTATCAGTTCGCGCCGGTTGCCTGTGGTGGATGCCACGGATGGGCTTCGCCGCGAGAGACGTTTTGATTGTACTTCGGCAACAATGGTCGGACTTGTCGGTCGAGCCCTTAGCGCAGCAGCGGCCGCTGCAGAGGAAAGAGACGCATCGGAGGAGCGACGCATGAAAGCCGAAGCGGCCGCGGTGGCAGCATTGGCATTGGCGGTCTCCTTGGTCAACGGCTGCGGCGAACGGACAACATACATAATTAGCACTGCGTGATGGCTATGTGAGGAGTAATGGTGGAAGGAAAGTTGATTCTGACGAGCTAGATTTGGTTGCTGAAGATTGAATAGCAGCCGGTTCAACAGAAAAGTTTAAATTCCGAAGGACGGGCTAACAGGCGCGAAACTTACCTGCATTGGAGTAGCACGTTTGCGACTACCGAACATGATGGATAACGGAGCGGCTCAAGAGCCTTGGTCAAGTTAGAAACAGATGAGCACCAGAAATAGAAAACATTGAATGAACGTATTAAGAGGCAGGTTGTGATGGAGCCAAGAGCATGTTCACGAAGCTGGGCTTACGAGGAGCGCGCACTGCATGGCCTGTCTACCTAAGGATTGAGCCACGACCTTATGCCCAGTTTTCGGGGGACAAATCACTGAAACTCGGGCAGGGGGGGCAACAAAAAGCCGATGACGACAGTCGCCCAAACACCGAACTCGTTTCCAGGCTTTCAGCTTAAGTAGCACTGGCAACCTACCTATTTACAGTGGGGAGACAAAAATTCCGCTCGATGGCACTAACACTATAGTGAATCGAGATTTTTAGCCGTTTCTAGCTTAGTAAGTATAGTTATCATAATTATATAGAAATAAGACTATAAACCAAAATATTTGGACTAATAATATACTTTTAATCTTATTTATTATTCTATTTCTAAAAACATTTACTTTTAAGGTCTAAACTTTTTAGAAATCTACTTCCTACTAGCTAAATTTATTATAAAATATACTCTAGGACTAGAATTACTAAAGAAATATATATATATAAGATAGACTATAATATATCTTACTAATAACTAGGCTTATTTAATCTTTTAGTAAAGTTATTTCTTATAAAAAGTAGTTAATAGTAAGAACTTAGGCTCTATAGCCTACCCTCCTTATACTTAGCCTAGGGCTATTAAGGAGCTAAAGTAGGCCTATAAGGTCAATACTATAATATTAGTATTCTTATAGCTAGCTTCTCTCTCTCTCTCTTCTTCTTCTCTTTAAGAGAATTATTACTAACTATAATACCTATTTATAAAAGTATAGAGCTAACGTAGTTAATAAGCGAGTT